CGGTGCAAGAGCCCAAAACAAGTAAATTTGTATGAGGAATTTTTCAAATGCTCCTTACAATAATGGAACCTAATTTCGAAATGATTTAACAAACTTTTTCCCTGCAGGAATTATAGCTTCATTTGAAATGGAACTTTAAAACTTGATTTCAGATAAAAAAAAAAGGTTGACTGAGAAATAAATAAATAATTAAATTAATTAACTGATTTAGAGCTAATGAAAGCCAATAGTAGAACACAAATCTGACGATATTACGTGAATTGCTGAAGAGATCGACAGCTAGTTAAGAGTAGTTTTAGGCGACGTTTTGAAGACACATGTCATTATTATACCTAGAACTTGATGTATCCGTGGCAACTGTATTATGACAATTTAAAATTTTCTTACAGTAACAAGATTTAGCTTTCAAGTAGTCATTTTTACATAATTTATAACATTTTTGCTTTATTTAGTTTTGCGTCATTGCTTTAGTGGATTTTTCTGGTATTAGAAAAATCAAGAAATCGTAGATGGCAGAACGAAGATGGCGCCTGTTGGAATATCATGAACGAAATGACTACGTGAAGTGACATCACCGTCTCCTGTTACTTACCTCAAATGAAACATGTTTGGATGTTCTACTTACCCTCTTAGTTTCATTTCTTTGTTTAAATGTTCTTGAAGTTACAGAGGAGGTTGGGCGGCTTCCGTAGAAAACAAAAACAAGACGGTCAGAATAGCGTTAACATATGTCAGTAGTGGATGATGCTAAATTTTAGGGAAAGGGACTAAAACTGATAAAAAATTTACAAATTAGTGACGAAAAATAGAAAAAAAACAAACAAACAAAAAGCAGGAAAGAAACAACAAGCAAACTTGAAACCAGTTTTGTGGTTTTTCTTGAACTTTATACAAAAATGTAAACATTAAAATTCTAGAGTATAAATAAACTTCACAAAGCAAACTTTTTGAGCTACATAATAAATTAAAAGGGACCACAAAAATCCTGTTTTGATTTGTTCAGGTGTGTGACATAATTTGAGCCTGCATGCTTATTGGACCTCATTAGACAATTTTCGAGATCTGACTGTGACCACATGAGGGGTCCATGTGAGTAGCCTGAGACGTGCAGCATTTTCAGCAATGCTTAGACATGCAGTGACTGTGGCTTGGATGGTTTAATATGGATGATCATCCTGCACTTCCCGTTGTCGGTAAGAACTGTGAACTAGTTTGCAACCAATACTTTAGCTGGCTGGGACAATTTTTGGTTCTCTCGGTTCTTCAGGCAAAATTACATGCAAGTGAATGGGTATTTGTATTTACAAGTGCAGTTTCATCAACTGATTACTCAAAGAGTTCTTAGTTTCCATGCCGTTTTCGACTGGCCGTAATATGAATAATCGATCTGAACAATCTCGATGCCATAGGTCCTGGAAAATCAAATACTCTTTTGAAATTTACCACGACAAAAATACCAGTTGATTTGCGTGTTCAACTAGCCCAAGTCCGATTTTCCCTTGAAGTCATCTCTGGCATGCAGCAGCTCGACGAAAAATAATAATTTGTATTTACATACGATGGGCACTTTGACTAAACTGTCTCTTTGTCTGCTTCAGATCAGACAAACACAATGACTGAACATGAGTTTTGAGTTGCGTTTTCCTACGTGTAAAAGCGTGGGCAGGTTCACCCTGTGATGTCCAGGGGTAAATAAACAAATCACGTTCTGATTTCCTACGATGATCGAGCATACTGTACCCTTATACATAAAATCGCATATTCTGATGTCGTGATGGCCTTCTTTAGGTTCACACCGCTTAAATCAGCTTGGAGGTGCTTATATCAACGGCAAACCACTTCCAAAAGAGATTCGGAACGAAATCCTCGCGTTAGCCCTCCAAGGAATTCTTCCTTGTGGCATAAGTCGTCGTTTACGGATCATGCACTCATGGCTGTATTAGTAAGTTGTTGTCCAAGTATCGTAAAACTGGCTCAATCCAAGCTGGTAGAGAAAGTGAAGGCCGACCCCGATCACTCCTCGAATAGCACAGAGAATCATGGAGTACAGAAAGGAACAACCAGGTCTGTTTTCTTGGGAGATACGAGATCGTCTTGTTCAAGAAAGCCTGTGCAGTAAGGAAAGTCCTCCCTCTCTTAGTTCCATCAGTAGATTGTTGAAGAATAAAGATGAATTGGACATAACGCCAGGAAATATCGGGGAACGTAACAGCAATTCCTACACGATCGCTAGTATCTTAAACCTACCGCCATTTGAGAGTCGGTCTTCCTCGTCGATTCCTTCATCGATGGCTTCTACATCCACCGATAGCCATGTACAATTAGCTGAACAGAAACAGACAGGTCAGTAATAATATCAAGTTTGCTAGCGTTTTTTGTGTGATTCACAGATTTCTGTTTCAGTTTATCTTAGATCCTTGTGGGGTTATTGAAAACCGTTCAATGGACACGAAACTAACCTTTACCTTGAAGTTCGCTTCCATTTTCTTTTGAGAGGCAATGCTCTAATTGTTATCAATTTCAATTTTTTTTGTTATGAAAAACTGCAATATTAAGGTCTTAAGATAATTTTTTTAAAAGCAATGTTTGCACTGTCTACGTGTGAAAAAAAAAGAGGATAGAGCTTAAGCGTAAAATCTTCCGGTAGCACACTGATGCTTTCATAGTTTGAAAAATCCCTTAATAACCTGTACAACATGTATAAAATTGGATGCGTTGATAGCAGTCTGAAAGCAATAGTCCAACCAAGAGGAGTTAGTGGCTCTATGATCTTTACATCAGTTGTAATATTAAACGATGTCTAATTTATATTCAGTTAAATGTGTCAGAGGAAACTTATTTTGTTCAATAAAACAAGAAATTGTTGTCGAAAGAAAACAAAATATATTTACATACACTTTCAAAATGTTATGTGCCAGAGTTCTGCAAACTGATTAACTCTTTGGAAGACAGGTCTGATGTTTGTTCACTCCATTAGTATAGCTAGTTGTCTGAAATTTGAAATTTTACACACTCCAATCATTTCCATAACCTTTACTAATATTAATTTACAGAACTGATTTAAGGTCAGGGAAATTATGAAGTGTTTCAAGTTTTTTTAAAGCACGTTCTAATACAAATGGAAAGATGTTGCAGCATATCACTATAAGATGCCTCAGGAGCTTTCGCTGTTTTTAATGTTACATGGTATGGCTAATGTTTTTTTGGCTGAAATTATTTCGAAAATTCAATTCAGATGTAAGTCCAACCATTTCAAGACCAGAGGACGATAAGCTCGGAAAATAGAAACACAAACAGAAACAAGGCTTTAGCTAGCCATTGTGGATGCTAAAGCATAAAAGTAGGACCAAATAACTTCTTTCAAAATTAGGATATGGCTTATTTTAATTCTTTTTGAAGCTGTTTTTCTTGAAGTCTTTCCACAGTATTCATACCAACCTCTCAGGATTGAATTTTGTTTTAAGTTATCTTTAACGGTATTTTAGGATGTATGTCGCTTATTCAAGGTTGATGGTTTTTATTGCATGGATGTCTTAACAGGGTACCCTCGACAAATTTGATGGTGCATCCGTGTAAAATGTTATATTTTGATAACTTATTAAGGTTCACTGGAACTGGGGGATTAAATTTGCCTGTTGTCCATAGTCCATAAACGTGCGATCGAGGTGTACTTTTGTTTCATCATCGAGTAAGGATGTTGTTTATGTCACATTTTTCGGTTGAGGAAAAGGAAACCAAAGTTATCAGGAGGATACTCGAAACTTCCTTAAGCTTGAAAACCACTGATTTGTAAATTACCTTAATGAGGTTTCTTATGGGGTGCAATGGGAACTGGGATTTGCCTCTGGCAATAAAATAGGGAGTTAGCCTGTGACAATGGATAAAATCTCAAAAAGCCATTCAATATCACGTTTCATGGAATGAAAACAGTTATACATAAACAGTAAAGCATCCCATAGTCTTATTACACGGAAGTCCGAGTCAGACCCTTTCTTAGTCGGGTTCATAGTGCCAGGCGTTTCTAGCGGAGAGCTTAGAAACTGGGAAGGAGAATTGCACCCGCTTGCTCGCTCTTTGGGCCACGAATTCTAAAGCTTGAAAGCTAGCCAAATTAGCAAAGTTCATACTTGTTCTCACGACCACCTCAGATGTCAATAAAAGGGCCTTTGGGCTGCCTCGTGTCATTAATGCCGGCTTGTTGAATCGATAAAATATAATTGAAATTAATAAATTGTATCGGGACTTTATAAGAAGATACTCTGTGAGTGTTGATTTTTAAATTATTCTTATCGATTTTATTGATTTATAAGTTTTATCGACGCAAAATGTCTCCAGTTATTGTAGGGCAGTGAAACATCAGAAAATGAACAGATTTACGTAGGTTGGGTTCCTTTAGGATTATCCGGATCAGGATCAACGATCCGAAATCACTAGGATCATAGTGCCTCTGAAGAAGCAGTTTTTTTAGTCGTGGATACGCGAAGCGTATAAACGGTTAAATAACAATATATCTTAAAATGGCAAATGACCCTTTTCCTCTGTTCCATAGTGAACTTAATGTTAGGATGGCAGGTATTAAGATATTTAAAAAACAAACTGACATCTTTAAAGTTTTTGAAACAACAAATTACATCTACCTATCTACGATACTATAGTACCTTAGGACTAGTGTAGTTCTTCAACCAAAGCTATTAATTATGACCCATGAAAAAATTGGCTAACATGGGGGCTAAAGGGGAACCCATAACTACTCCATCTATTCGATCGAAAAAGCAACCATTGAATGAAAAATAAGTGTGGCTAGTAGTAAAATTAAAAAGTTCCTTAAGTTGAATTTTGTTGAGTATGAGGCCTGACCCAGTGTTACTTTCTAAAATAGCATTGACAGCTAAATCAATGCTTTCAGTTAAAGGAAATACTTGTAAAAAGACTAATAACATTATATGAGACCAAAAATATTTCACTAAAAGCTACATCTTAAATTTCCGTAACAAAAGAGAAAGTATCTGTAGCACAAAACTCTGACGAGATGTGGGGCTTAATTAAACATCAAAGATACTTTGCTAAGTAGTTATAAGTGCCTATGGAGGAGACAATGGGTCTAAAAGGAGGAAACCAGACATCTTTTTTGGCTAACATTTGTAACTTTCCGGTTAAAGTGTATTCAACTCTTTCATAACGATAAGATACCCTTTAAACCACGAAAACTTTAAATTGCCCATATTTGTCTTTGAACAGTTTGGATTCCATACCCTGTTGCACGTGTCATAGATGTCATGTGACCCAACCTCCGAAGCCGAAGGACCTGGTTTCTTTCTCCCGGCAGGGTCTGGATGTTTCTGGGGAAAGAGCATTAGTCTAATACAATTTAGTTTGGGTACTGAGATTTAGGCTAAGAAATGAGATTGGCACAATTCTCTCACCCCCTTTAGGACCCTACAGAAAACGGCATCTCAGAATATGCTAAGGTAACCACTCTAGTCTTTGTTGACGTAGAAAAAAACCACACAAAAACTTTTTGACAGCTGGACTGCCATTGTCTTTCACATATAAATGGCGGATATGGTAGTGATTCGTTACTAATAATAAACATACCTTTTGTTGGCCATCACAGAGAATACACAGGATGCTGAAGACTCACGCGAAACTTTTCCGCTGCGGATTGAGAGAAGAGAACGCATCAAGTACACGAGCCACCAACTACATGAACTTGAAACAGNGCTCGAATTGTAATCAATTTCAATTTTTTGTTGTGAAAAAGTGGAATATAAAGGTCTGAATATTTTTTTGGAAGCAATGTTTTCACTGTCTACGTGAAAGAAAAAGAGTAGACGTTAAGCGTAAAATCGTTAGAGCACACTGTTGCTTTTCTAGTTTATAAAAAAAACCTTAATAACCTGTACATCATGTATAAAACTGAATGAGTTAATAGCAGTCTGAAACCAATAGTCTAACAAAGACCGGTTAGTCCTTAAAATTTGCCATAGTGGCCCTATGATCTTTACATCAGTTGTAATGTTAAAAGATAATGTCTAATTTATAGTTTAAATGTGTCAGAGGAAACTCGTTTTGTTCAATAAAACAAGAAATTGCCGTTGAAAGAAAACAAAATACATTTACATACACTTTCAAAATGTTTATGTATAAGAGTTCTGCAAACTGATTAACTCTTTGGAAGACAGGTTTAATGTTTGTTCACTCCATTAGTATAGTTAAGTGGAATTTGAAATTTTATATACACCAATCAATTCCATAACCTTCATTGATATTAATTTACAGAATTGATTTAAGGTCAGGAAAATTATGAAGTGTTTGACGATTTTTTAAAGCACTTTCTAATACAAATGGAAGATGTTGCAGCATATCACTGTAAGGTACCTCAGGGAAGTCTTCTTAAGAGATCTTTCACTGTTTTTAATGTTACATGGTATAGATAATGTATTTTTAGCTGAAATTATTTCAGAAATTCAATCCAGGTCCAAATAGGTCCAAAGAGGTCCAAAGATTGTTATCTCTGTGGAAGGGAAACTGTCTTAAGGAATTCTCTACTACAGGACACAGTGAGGTTAGAGTATTCGTAGCTGAATTTATTTTTGGCAATATCCAGCCAGATATGTCTTACCTTTGGGAAACAAACATTTCTGAAGCCCAAGGTTGATTTCTTGTTTTTTTTCTTTTTTTTATTACAATATCTTACATTACATTACATACAAAATTACCTACTACTTACAATGTCCACGTAACTTACAATTTAACGATAATAACAAAACTTACAATACTAACATTATTTACGATTTGTTAATATCTTACATTACAATAATATCTTACATTACAATTTGTTAATATCTTTCATGTAAAGGGTTAGCTACAATACGGGGCTTTCTCGCATATTAATTTGTGACTTAGATTTATGTTTCTCAATTTTAATTTTGTTTGTGAACATCGCTAAGAAAGCATCGAAATAAAATTCTTCTTCTTTTCTTGAGGCAGTATATAAATAATATTTGGCTATAATAATGCAGAGGTTTCAGCCAAGATGATGAGCGAAGTTATCTGTCACGCCATATATTATTTCATTTTTATCGAGAGTGATCCTATCCCCGTTTTTGGAGCTCCACCAATTAGTAAAGAGAGACCAAAAATGCTGAGCTTCAGAGCAGGTAACAAAAAGATGGGTTAACGTTTGTCTTTCTCCACAGAGGTGACATTTATCCTGTTCCTTGATTGAATCTCTAAAAAGTGTCGAATTTGTGGGTAGAATGTGATGAATTATTTTGTATTGGAAAATAGCGAGTCTAGTGTCTTTTGTAACATTAAACGGAAGGCTATAAATGAGTTGTATTGTATGTTCTTTTAGACTGGCTTCTTTCATCCTTCGTTCAGCTGTAGGCGTAACGAATTTACTCTTAACAAAGAATTTAGTTGCTGATCTGCAAGAGAGTTTATCTTATCCTTCTTATCCTTCTCAGAACGTTCTTCCAAGGGTTCAGTAACATTTCCTTTGAGAATATTGATCCATTTTTGAGGGACTGCGTGGCATAGACCGAAATAGTATAAGAAGTTTGATTTCTGTTGCAAAGATTGCAACTGCAGAAATTGTTTTATGTTAATTATATGCAAATTTAGCTTACCTAGCATTAGAGCTAATTATGCCAAGACCTGGTTTTACGTCTTGATTTGTGTACCATGAGTTAGACACTGATCTTTCTCAAGCTATTGAGGATTCCAGGCACAAATAACTTCCTTCTGAAAAGAGAAGGGGTCTTACTATAAGGACCTTTTCAAAGTTATCTTGTTTAAAGTAATTTTTAGCATTTATATAAAAATTTATTGTAATTTTATTGTTACGGATCTCGAAAAGCCCCACAAGTGAACAGTAAAAAAGTATGTAACCCACTATTACGACTACAAAGGACAACTGACACTGACACTTGTATCATTACCCAGTCGGATTTTGCTCATATAGACGTTAATTAGAGTAACTTGCTCTAATTTTATGGTTGAAGAAAAAAGAAACAAAGTTGTCAGGAAATCTAAGGAGGATTGAGGGCAGAAGGATTTGTAGATTGTCATTAAAAAGGGTATAATAGGAGCTAGGATTGGACTTCATAGTTTGTTGTTTGGATCTAAATTGCCCCTTAGCCTAAACTTTTTCTTTAAATTTATATTTGAATATACACATTATTTAGAAGACAAACATTACTTACAATAGTAACAATACGTACAGCACTAATTTAACTTACACTACTAACACTACATAATATAGTAATAGTAACATTGCTTACAATACTAAACAGCACTTGCAATACTAACATTGCAATTACACTACAGTACGTAATACTAAGGAGAGCAGGGAAATAGAACAAACCATTTTAATAAAACCAGTTTATTCCACAAAGTGCAAAAACAGGCTTCGAATTTGCGTGGCATGATGCATTATTATTTACTATTATGCTAATGGTAAGAAAGAAAGGGGAGTTGCTTATACTAATACGAGAATAAAGGAATCCAACTTTTTGTAATGTACAAGTTTACCATTTCTTTTGGAAATCAAAAATTCTATGTTAAGAGTTGCTTTCAATTTAGCCTTAAAAACTTCTAAAGATGGTTTAGTATTATCGAGCTTACACCTATAGATATAAAACTTTGCAAGCAAAAGAATGTGGTTAATTACTATTAAGTCTTTATCAATATCAAATTTACCAAACAAAACATCTATGAGTGAAAAATCTACTACTTCATTTTATGGATGGCCAGCCATGATAACACCTCTTTCCAAAACGATTGGACTTCATAGCTTGTTGTTTGAGTCTAAATTGTCCCTTAGCCCTACCTCGAAGGCTGTGAGACCAATTCGTTTTCTATAATGAAAGTGTTCCTTTATCTTGCTGGGCAGAGAGTGCCTGGCTGTAGAGAATGGTGGGTAGACTATAGAAGTTGGTGCGCAGACCAGGGAGTGTAAGTCCAGCAATAAAATGTTTTGACATTGTGGAAATAGGGTTTTGAATAGCATTTGGACTGGTTACTTAGAATTGAGCTAGGATTTGGATTTGCATTCTTCCCTTTTCCCTTTAGGACTCAGCATCTAAAAATACAACAAACAGCATCTAAAAATATCGCAGTCTCTCTGTTGACGTCAATTGTCTACCACATTGTCTGCCACTTGTAACTGTGAGTTTGTAGTGTTTGGTCATTAATAATAAACATTTATTTTGTTGGCCGTCACAGAGAATACCCAGGATGCTGAAGACTCACGCGAAACTTTTCCGCTGCGGATTCAGAGAAGAGAACGCATCAAGTACACGAGCCACCAACTGCATGAACTTGAAACAGCATTTAAAATCAATCAGTACCCATCTGTGTCAGGGAGAGAACATCTAGCGAGAAAAAGTGGAGTTACTGCGGAGTCAAGAATTCAGGTGCATTGCTATTCAGGGTACAACGAAAAAAGGCTTTCTAATGAACAAAGTTAATCCAGGGCTTATTATTAACGTTTCATGGTAGTTTTTACGATATTCTGTAACGAAATTCTTCAGATCTTCTAATCATCTGTTTGTTGGACTCTAGGTGTGGTTCTCAAATTGAAGAGCGAAGTGCAAAGCTAGAAGGCACTCGACTAATGAAAGACCAAGACCAAGACCAAACCACCCAAAAGACTGCACGCGTCGTCGGATTTCAGACTCTTACGTACTACCGAAAATGATGGGACCTGGTACCTCAAGAATATTCTTTCCACCTGATCAATAACAACATTAAGCTGTTTGTTGCACGAAATGTGCCTAATGATAGTACTTACTCTTAAATATTTAGACTGGTTTTCTAGATTGGCCCATTAAATCTACACTAGTCTCTTCCCAGAGAATTAGCTTTATGTTTGAATTTGTTCTATTCACACCTCGAGTGAGCTTTCTAAGAAATACATTTCCTAACCTACAAAGATGCCTCTCTTCTTGCCCTGTGCGTTTCAAATGTTTAAATGATTCATGGCTAGCATTGGATATGAGATGACACATAACCAAGGGAGGTTAAAGTCATGTAAACATATTACAGACATATTAGAGTGACATATGTTATAGTGACTGAAGTGAGCTCTTTCTTTCCCTTTTTGCTGCTTGGTCCGGTGCAAGAGCCCAAAACAAGTGAATTTGTATGAGGAATTTTTTAAATACTCCTTGCAATAATAGAACCTAATTTCAAAATTATTTTAAAAACTTGTTCCTTACAGGAATTATAGCCCCATTTGAAATGGACTTTTAAAACTTGATTTTCGATAAAAAAAGTTAACTGATAAGTAAATAAGCAATTAAATTAATTAACTGGTTTAGAGCTAATGAAAGCCAATAGTAGAACACAAATCTGACGATATTACGTGAATTGTTGAAGAGATCGACAGCTAGTTAAGAGTAGTTTTAGGCGACGTTTTGAAGACACAACATGCCATTATACTCAGAACTTGATGTATCCATGGCAACCGCATCATGAAAGGCGTTTTTTTCTTAATGTAAAATTTTCTTACAGTAACAAGATTTAGCTTTCAAGTAGTCATTTTTACATTATTTAGAACATTTTAGCTTTATTTAGTTTTGCGTCATTGTTTTTTAGTGGATTTTTCTGGTATTAGAAAAATCAAGAAATCGTAGATGGCAGAACGAAGATGGCGCCTGTAGGAATATCATGACGAAATGTCTACGTGAAATGACATCAATGTCTCCTGCTACTTACCTCAAATGAAACATGTTTGGATGTTCTACTTACCCTCTTAGTTTCATTTCATTGTTTAAAAGTTCTTGACGTTACACAGGGGTTGGGCGGTTTCCGTAGAAAATAAAACGAGGCGGTCAGAATAGCGTGAACATATGTCAGTAGTGGTTGATGCTACAGTTTAGGAGAGGGACTAAAACTGAGAAAATATTTACCAATTAGTGAAGAAAAATAGGAAAAACAAACAAAATGCAGGAAAGAAACAACAAGCAAACTTGAAACCAGTTTTGCGGTTTTACTTGAACGTTATACAAAAACGTAATCATTAAAATTCTAGAGTATAAATAAACTTCACAAAGCAAACGTTTTGAGCTACATAATAAATTCAAACAGACCACAAAAATCCTGTTTTGGTTCGTTCAGGTGTGTGACATAATTTGAGCCTGCATGCTTATTGGACCTCATTGGACAATTTTCGAGATCTGACTGTGACCGCATGAGCGGTCTATGTGAGTAGCCTGAGACGTGCAGCATTTTCAGCAATGCTTAGACATGCAGTGACTGTGGCTTGGATGGTTTAATATGGATGATCATCCTGCACTTCCCGTTGTCGGTAAGAACTGTGAACTAGTTTGCAACCAATACTTTAGCTGGCTGGGACAATTTTTGGTTCTCTCGGTTCTTCAGGCAAAATTACATGCAAGTGAATGGGTATTTGTATTTACAAGTGCAGTTTCATCAACTGATTACTCAAAGAGTTCTTAGTTTCCATGCCGTTTTCGACTGGCCGTAATATGAATAATCGATCTGAACAATCTCGATGCCATAGGTCCTGGAAAATCAAATACTCTTTTGAAATTTACCACGACAAAAATACCAGTTGATTTGCGTGTTCAACTAGCCCAAGTCCGATTTTCCCTTGAAGTCATCTCTGGCATGCAGCAGCTCGACGAAAAATAATAATTTGTATTTACATACGATGGGCACTTTGACTAAACTGTCTCTTTGTCTGCTTCAGATCAGACAAACACAATGACTGAACATGAGTTTTGAGTTGCGTTTTCCTACGTGTAAAAGCGTGGGCAGGTTCACCCTGTGATGTCCAGGGGTAAATAAACAAATCACGTTCTGATTTCCTACGATGATCGAGCATACTGTACCCTTATACATAAAATCGCATATTCTGATGTCGTGATGGCCTTCTTTAGGTTCACACCGCTTAAATCAGCTTGGAGGTGCTTATATCAACGGCAAACCACTTCCAAAAGAGATTCGGAACGAAATCCTCGCGTTAGCCCTCCAAGGAATTCTTCCTTGTGGCATAAGTCGTCGTTTACGGATCATGCACTCATGGCTGTATTAGTAAGTTGTTGTCCAAGTATCGTAAAACTGGCTCAATCCAAGCTGGTAGAGAAAGTGAAGGCCGACCCCGATCACTCCTCGAATAGCACAGAGAATCATGGAGTACAGAAAGGAACAACCAGGTCTGTTTTCTTGGGAGATACGAGATCGTCTTGTTCAAGAAAGCCTGTGCAGTAAGGAAAGTCCTCCCTCTCTTAGTTCCATCAGTAGATTGTTGAAGAATAAAGATGAATTGGACATAACGCCAGGAAATATCGGGGAACGTAACAGCAATTCCTACACGATCGCTAGTATCTTAAACCTACCGCCATTTGAGAGTCGGTCTTCCTCGTCGATTCCTTCATCGATGGCTTCTACATCCACCGATAGCCATGTACAATTAGCTGAACAGAAACAGACAGGTCAGTAATAATATCAAGTTTGCTAGCGTTTTTTGTGTGATTCACAGATTTCTGTTTCAGTTTATCTTAGATCCTTGTGGGGTTATTGAAAACCGTTCAATGGACACGAAACTAACCTTTACCTTGAAGTTCGCTTCCATTTTCTTTTGAGAGGCAATGCTCTAATTGTTATCAATTTCAATTTTTTTTGTTATGAAAAACTGCAATATTAAGGTCTTAAGATAATTTTTTTAAAAGCAATGTTTGCACTGTCTACGTGTGAAAAAAAAAGAGGATAGAGCTTAAGCGTAAAATCTTCCGGTAGCACACTGATGCTTTCATAGTTTGAAAAATCCCTTAATAACCTGTACAACATGTATAAAATTGGATGCGTTGATAGCAGTCTGAAAGCAATAGTCCAACCAAGAGGAGTTAGTGGCTCTATGATCTTTACATCAGTTGTAATATTAAACGATGTCTAATTTATATTCAGTTAAATGTGTCAGAGGAAACTTATTTTGTTCAATAAAACAAGAAATTGTTGTCGAAAGAAAACAAAATATATTTACATACACTTTCAAAATGTTATGTGCCAGAGTTCTGCAAACTGATTAACTCTTTGGAAGACAGGTCTGATGTTTGTTCACTCCATTAGTATAGCTAGTTGTCTGAAATTTGAAATTTTACACACTCCAATCATTTCCATAACCTTTACTAATATTAATTTACAGAACTGATTTAAGGTCAGGGAAATTATGAAGTGTTTCAAGTTTTTTTAAAGCACGTTCTAATACAAATGGAAAGATGTTGCAGCATATCACTATAAGATGCCTCAGGAGCTTTCGCTGTTTTTAATGTTACATGGTATGGCTAATGTTTTTTTGGCTGAAATTATTTCGAAAATTCAATTCAGATGTAAGTCCAACCATTTCAAGACCAGAGGACGATAAGCTCGGAAAATAGAAACACAAACAGAAACAAGGCTTTAGCTAGCCATTGTGGATGCTAAAGCATAAAAGTAGGACCAAATAACTTCTTTCAAAATTAGGATATGGCTTATTTTAATTCTTTTTGAAGCTGTTTTTCTTGAAGTCTTTCCACAGTATTCATACCAACCTCTCAGGATTGAATTTTGTTTTAAGTTATCTTTAACGGTATTTTAGGATGTATGTCGCTTATTCAAGGTTGATGGTTTTTATTGCATGGATGTCTTAACAGGGTACCCTCGACAAATTTGATGGTGCATCCGTGTAAAATGTTATATTTTGATAACTTATTAAGGTTCACTGGAACTGGGGGATTAAATTTGCCTGTTGTCCATAGTCCATAAACGTGCGATCGAGGTGTACTTTTGTTTCATCATCGAGTAAGGATGTTGTTTATGTCACATTTTTCGGTTGAGGAAAAGGAAACCAAAGTTATCAGGAGGATACTCGAAACTTCCTTAAGCTTGAAAACCACTGATTTGTAAATTACCTTAATGAGGTTTCTTATGGGGTGCAATGGGAACTGGGATTTGCCTCTGGCAATAAAATAGGGAGTTAGCCTGTGACAATGGATAAAATCTCAAAAAGCCATTCAATATCACGTTTCATGGAATGAAAACAGTTATACATAAACAGTAAAGCATCCCATAGTCTTATTACACGGAAGTCCGAGTCAGACCCTTTCTTAGTCGGGTTCATAGTGCCAGGCGTTTCTAGCGGAGAGCTTAGAAACTGGGAAGGAGAATTGCACCCGCTTGCTCGCTCTTTGGGCCACGAATTCTAAAGCTTGAAAGCTAGCCAAATTAGCAAAGTTCATACTTGTTCTCACGACCACCTCAGATGTCAATAAAAGGGCCTTTGGGCTGCCTCGTGTCATTAATGCCGGCTTGTTGAATCGATAAAATATAATTGAAATTAATAAATTGTATCGGGACTTTATAAGAAGATACTCTGTGAGTGTTGATTTTTAAATTATTCTTATCGATTTTATTGATTTATAAGTTTTATCGACGCAAAATGTCTCCAGTTATTGTAGGGCAGTGAAACATCAGAAAATGAACAGATTTACGTAGGTTGGGTTCCTTTAGGATTATCCGGATCAGGATCAACGATCCGAAATCACTAGGATCATAGTGCCTCTGAAGAAGCAGTTTTTTTAGTCGTGGATACGCGAAGCGTATAAACGGTTAAATAACAATATATCTTAAAATGGCAAATGACCCTTTTCCTCTGTTCCATAGTGAACTTAATGTTAGGATGGCAGGTATTAAGATATTTAAAAAACAAACTGACATCTTTAAAGTTTTTGAAACAACAAATTACATCTACCTATCTACGATACTATAGTACCTTAGGACTAGTGTAGTTCTTCAACCAAAGCTATTAATTATGACCCATGAAAAAATTGGCTAACATGGGGGCTAAAGGGGAACCCATAACTACTCCATCTATTCGATCGAAAAAGCAACCATTGAATGAAAAATAAGTGTGGCTAGTAGTAAAATTAAAAAGTTCCTTAAGTTGAATTTTGTTGAGTATGAGGCCTGACCCAGTGTTACTTTCTAAAATAGCATTGACAGCTAAATCAATGCTTTCAGTTAAAGGAAATACTTGTAAAAAGACTAATAACATTATATGAGACCAAAAATATTTCACTAAAAGCTACATCTTAAATTTCCGTAACAAAAGAGAAAGTATCTGTAGCACAAAACTCTGACGAGATGTGGGGCTTAATTAAACATCAAAGATACTTTGCTAAGTAGTTATAAGTGCCTATGGAGGAGACAATGGGTCTAAAAGGAGGAAACCAGACATCTTTTTTGGCTAACATTTGTAACTTTCCGGTTAAAGTGTATTCAACTCTTTCATAACGATAAGATACCCTTTAAACCACGAAAACTTTAAATTGCCCATATTTGTCTTTGAACAGTTTGGATTCCATACCCTGTTGCACGTGTCATAGATGTCATGTGACCCAACCTCCGAAGCCGAAGGACCTGGTTTCTTTCTCCCGGCAGGGTCTGGATGTTTCTGGGGAAAGAGCATTAGTCTAATACAATTTAGTTTGGGTACTGAGATTTAGGCTAAGAAATGAGATTGGCACAATTCTCTCACCCCCTTTAGGACCCTACAGAAAACGGCATCTCAGAATATGCTAAGGTAACCACTCTAGTCTTTGTTGACGTAGAAAAAAACCACACAAAAACTTTTTGACAGCTGGACTGCCATTGTCTTTCACATATAAATGGCGGATATGGTAGTGATTCGTTACTAATAATAAACATACCTTTTGTTGGCCNGATCACTCCTCGAATAGCACAGAGAATCATGGAGTACAGAAAGGAACAACCAGGTCTGTTTTCTTGGGAGATACGAGATCGTCTTGTTCAAGAAAGCCTGTGCAGTAAGGAAAGTCCTCCCTCTCTTAGTTCCATCAGTAGATTGTTGAAGAATAAAGATGAATTGGACATAACGCCAGGAAATATCGGGGAACGTAACAGCAATTCCTACACGATCGCTAGTATCTTAAACCTACCGCCATTTGAGAGTCGGTCTTCCTCGTCGATTCCTTCATCGATGGCTTCTACATCCACCGATAGCCATGTACAATTAGCTGAACAGAAACAGACAGGTCAGTAATAATATCAAGTTTGCTAGCGTTTTTTGTGTGATTCACAGATTTCTGTTTCAGTTTATCTTAGATCCTTGTGGGGTTATTGAAAACCGTTCAATGGACACGAAACTAACCTTTACCTTGAAGTTCGCTTCCATTTTCTTTTGAGAGGCAATGCTCTAATTGTTATCAATTTCAATTTTTTTTGTTATGAAAAACTGCAATATTAAGGTCTTAAGATAATTTTTTTAAAAGCAATGTTTGCACTGTCTACGTGTGAAAAAAAAAGAGGATAGAGCTTAAGCGTAAAATCTTCCGGTAGCACACTGATGCTTTCATAGTTTGAAAAATCCCTTAATAACCTGTACAACATGTATAAAATTGGATGCGTTGATAGCAGTCTGAAAGCAATAGTCCAACCAAGAGGAGTTAGTGGCTCTATGATCTTTACATCAGTTGTAATATTAAACGATGTCTAATTTATATTCAGTTAAATGTGTCAGAGGAAACTTATTTTGTTCAATAAAACAAGAAATTGTTGTCGAAAGAAAACAAAATATATTTACATACACTTTCAAAATGTTATGTGCCAGAGTTCTGCAAACTGATTAACTCTTTGGAAGACAGGTCTGATGTTTGTTCACTCCATTAGTATAGCTAGTTGTCTGAAATTTGAAATTTTACACACTCCAATCATTTCCATAACCTTTACTAATATTAATTTACAGAACTGATTTAAGGTCAGGGAAATTATGAAGTGTTTCAAGTTTTTTTAAAGCACGTTCTAATACAAATGGAAAGATGTTGCAGCATATCACTATAAGATGCCTCAGGAGCTTTCGCTGTTTTTAATGTTACATGGTATGGCTAATGTTTTTTTGGCTGAAATTATTTCGAAAATTCAATTCAGATGTAAGTCCAACCATTTCAAGACCAGAGGACGATAAGCTCGGAAAATAGAAACACAAACAGAAACAAGGCTTTAGCTAGCCATTGTGGATGCTAAAGCATAAAAGTAGGACCAAATAACTTCTTTCAAAATTAGGATATGGCTTATTTTAATTCTTTTTGAAGCTGTTTTTCTTGAAGTCTTTCCACAGTATTCATACCAACCTCTCAGGATTGAATTTTGTTTTAAGTTATCTTTAACGGTATTTTAGGATGTATGTCGCTTATTCAAGGTTGATGGTTTTTATTGCATGGATGTCTTAACAGGGTACCCTCGACAAATTTGATGGTGCATCCGTGTAAAATGTTATATTTTGATAACTTATTAAGGTTCACTGGAACTGGGGGATTAAATTTGCCTGTTGTCCATAGTCCATAAACGTGCGATCGAGGTGTACTTTTGTTTCATCATCGAGTAAGGATGTTGTTTATGTCACATTTTTCGGTTGAGGAAAAGGAAACCAAAGTTATCAGGAGGATACTCGAAACTTCCTTAAGCTTGAAAACCACTGATTTGTAAATTACCTTAATGAGGTTTCTTATGGGGTGCAATGGGAACTGGGATTTGCCTCTGGCAATAAAATAGGGAGTTAGCCTGTGACAATGGATAAAATCTCAAAAAGCCATTCAATATCACGTTTCATGGAATGAAAACAGTTATACATAAACAGTAAAGCATCCCATAGTCTTATTACACGGAAGTCCGAGTCAGACCCTTTCTTAGTCGGGTTCATAGTGCCAGGCGTTTCTAGCGGAGAGCTTAGAAACTGGGAAGGAGAATTGCACCCGCTTGCTCGCTCTTTGGGCCACGAATTCTAAAGCTTGAAAGCTAGCCAAATTAGCAAAGTTCATACTTGTTCTCACGACCACCTCAGATGTCAATAAAAGGGCCTTTGGGCTGCCTCGTGTCATTAATGCCGGCTTGTTGAATCGATAAAATATAATTGAAATTAATAAATTGTATCGGGACTTTATAAGAAGATACTCTGTGAGTGTTGATTTTTAAATTATTCTTATCGATTTTATTGATTTATAAGTTTTATCGACGCAAAATGTCTCCAGTTATTGTAGGGCAGTGAAACATCAGAAAATGAACAGATTTACGTAGGTTGGGTTCCTTTAGGATTATCCGGATCAGGATCAACGATCCGAAATCACTAGGATCATAGTGCCTCTGAAGAAGCAGTTTTTTTAGTCGTGGATACGCGAAGCGTATAAACGGTTAAATAACAATATATCTTAAAATGGCAAATGACCCTTTTCCTCTGTTCCATAGTGAACTTAATGTTAGGATGGCAGGTATTAAGATATTTAAAAAACAAACTGACATCTTTAAAGTTTTTGAAACAACAAATTACATCTACCTATCTACGATACTATAGTACCTTAGGACTAGTGTAGTTCTTCAACCAAAGCTATTAATTATGACCCATGAAAAAATTGGCTAACATGGGGGCTAAAGGGGAACCCATAACTACTCCATCTATTCGATCGAAAAAGCAACCATTGAATGAAAAATAAGTGTGGCTAGTAGTAAAATTAAAAAGTTCCTTAAGTTGAATTTTGTTGAGTATGAGGCCTGACCCAGTGTTACTTTCTAAAATAGCATTGACAGCTAAATCAATGCTTTCAGTTAAAGGAAATACTTGTAAAAAGACTAATAACATTATATGAGACCAAAAATATTTCACTAAAAGCTACATCTTAAATTTCCGTAACAAAAGAGAAAGTATCTGTAGCACAAAACTCTGACGAGATGTGGGGCTTAATTAAACATCAAAGATACTTTGCTAAGTAGTTATAAGTGCCTATGGAGGAGACAATGGGTCTAAAAGGAGGAAACCAGACATCTTTTTTGGCTAACATTTGTAACTTTCCGGTTAAAGTGTATTCAACTCTTTCATAACGATAAGATACCCTTTAAACCACGAAAACTTTAAATTGCCCATATTTGTCTTTGAACAGTTTGGATTCCATACCCTGTTGCACGTGTCATAGATGTCATGTGACCCAACCTCCGAAGCCGAAGGACCTGGTTTCTTTCTCCCGGCAGGGTCTGGATGTTTCTGGGGAAAGAGCATTAGTCTAATACAATTTAGTTTGGGTACTGAGATTTAGGCTAAGAAATGAGATTGGCACAATTCTCTCACCCCCTTTAGGACCCTACAGAAAACGGCATCTCAGAATATGCTAAGGTAACCACTCTAGTCTTTGTTGACGTAGAAAAAAACCACACAAAAACTTTTTGACAGCTGGACTGCCATTGTCTTTCACATATAAATGGCGGATATGGTAGTGATTCGTTACTAATAATAAACATACCTTTTGTTGGCCATCACAGAGAATACACAGGATGCTGAAGACTCACGCGAAACTTTTCCGCTGCGGATTGAGAGAAGAGAACGCATCAAGTACACGAGCCACCAACTACATGAACTTGAAACAGTATTTAGAATCAATCAGTACCCATCTGTGTCAGGGAGAGAACATCTAGCAAGAAAAATTGGTGTTACTGAGTCACAAATTCAGGTGCATGTTCTATTTCAGCATATTTTCCGATTATGCAAATATGCCAGGTGTGTGATCATTGAGCCAAGATCTTCTAACCTACTGTATCTGTTTGTTGGGCCATAGGTGTGGTTCTCAAACCAAAGAGCGAAGTGCAAAGCTAGAAGACACTCGTCTAATGAAGCAGATTCAAGAACAAACAACCCAAACTACTGCACGTGTCGAAGGATTTCAGCTTCCAACATACTACTAAGAATAATGGGACCTGGTACCTCAAGAGTATTCTTTCCACCTTGTCAACGGTGAAAACGAATTTCGATCACCAGGAAAACATCAGACGTTTGGCATTTTATAACTGATTATGTATCAAAGACAATGCTAAATAAATCCTGCATGCTTTGTTCTAGTGAGAGCAGTTATACTTTGACAGGTCAATATCCCCAAGTGATATTACCATTTTAGTATCACACAAATGTTTAATCATTGGTTAATAAGTTGTGGTAATTTTCAACATAACCATATACAGCCTGCTAAAAACACCCTTAATTTTAGATTTAAGAACGTTTAATTCAAAAGGGGCTCGGTGAAACCCTTTTTTTATTATTGAATTGTAATGATGGTGTTAAGATACAACTTTTAAGTTTAAAAAAAAACTGTAGGTAGGGCTCAGAACCACCTAAAGTTTTTGAAACTTTAAAATTGCTCTGAATCTATTTATAGGATGTTTTTAAACATCGACCCATCGTTCCATCGTTCCATCATTCGCATTAAGAAACAGCCTATTAGGAATCTTCTTATATGGCGCTCTCTGGCCAATCAGCAGCTGTGTTATAACAGATGAAACTGACATGTGCTCGCTCAGCGGAAAATCGCGCGCGCTGGTAGCGGAATAGTGGAGGTTTACCCTGTTTACAGGTGACCGAGTAGTGGCACTTTTTTGTTTCTTTGATCGCTTTTGCCGTTCTGTTATAATTACTTCTAGTCGAGGAAGCATTCATCAAGGTTAGAAGCTTTCAGTAAGTATTCTAGTGGCCGACAGTGTGCATTTTTGTCGCTTGCACCTTTGCTTTTCAATCGATCGGATTCGGTCGATTCCTGGACACAAGCAAATATCGGTGACATCTTATGTCACGGAGATCGCATGTGAAGCTGTTACTGGGCTTGAAAGACATAATAGTAACCTACAATAAACGTACCAAGGTAGTAACTAAAATTTTTAGACCAAATTTATAGTCATTTCCATCATGACAAGCTTAATATACAGTTGGCCTTTGCGTGATAAGACCCATTGTTCGTCACACGTTGCGTTAACTAGTTTCACTGATACTTCTAAGGATCAGTTCCTGAAGCTGTTACTGGGCTTGAAAGACATAGTAGTAACATACGATAAGCGTGCCAAGGTAGTAACATCACGCCCAACATCAAGAATTTGCGAACGGGACTTTGGGCGTGATGCTCAACGAGTTTGCCTTTGAATTCTAAAGGTCTCTGAAGAGTCTCTTGGCCGAGACGAAACGCCGCGTCAGACTAGCCACGAACATTTCACAAGTATTTAACAACCATACAGCCCGATAAAAACACCCTTAATTTTTAAACCCTTTTTTTATTATTGAATTGTAATAATTGTAAGTTTAAAAAAATCTGTAGGTAGGGCTCAGAGACCTAAATTTTTAAAAGTTTAAAATTGCTATGAATCCTATCCATAGGATGTCTTTAAAATTTGCAGAAAGTTGTATCTTATATCTATAAGTAACTATATCTTGCTTCATTTTAGAAAAACGTGAAAAGGGCTAAGTGAGAGACATATGGAATAAATTACCCAGAAAATGAACGAGTGTCAGCGGTTTGAAGATCCCCATGTTTTGCTGAGGTATACCCTGCCTTTCAGGAATACTATTTCCTCCCTGTCAAGAGTGAAAGTTTCACAACCGACGTGAGAATGCCTGACAAACAAAACACTTTCAAAGCGCCTAACATTTTGTCTTTTCTATATTAGAGATGTACAAAATAATTTCGGGCTGCATGATCTTACTGTCTCATTGGTTTTAATCTAATAGTGAAAATCTAATTGTGTTTATAAAATTGAAGCATTATTCTTACTGTGTTAAAGGTTGAGCAATTTCTTGTTCAAACATGCTCAGTGTTTCAAATCAAATTTTAATGATAATCTCGTATAACTTGTAAGGCGTTTTCTTTTTAGTTCTGTTTATTGGTTTCGTAACTGGGTCATATGATATCTTTGAGGAGATGAGCATATCCTTATTATAAAAATCTGTTTTGGCTTTGAATAAGATACCGTTTTACAAATACATGCAACTTCCGTACACTAATAGAACAGTCATGAATAAATAGTGTTGTAATAAAACCAAGGCTTATTAGAAGTACAAAGTGAGATATAGCTTTCAAAAACCACCCGATGTGTTTGAAATTCATATTACATTAACAAGACATGTTTCGGATGAAACATCATCCATCATCAGTTTACAATACCAATAGAAAACGAGCAATAAGTATGGGTTATTGACCAAGTGTGAGGTCAAGATGGCTGGATATTGGCCAAGTTCTATTTTTTTTGTGTGTGTGTGTTTATGGACCGAGATAGAGTCGAGGTCCATAAACTCGCAAAAAAAGAACGAGACCAATATCCAGCCATCTTGACCGAACAAGCTTGGTCAATAAAGGATTTATTATATGGCTTTCGCGGAAATTTTTCTTGCGGGACAGGGCGGGTAGTCCCGAGCGTGCAAGATAGCTCCATCTTGCCCGCTCGGGTAGCCAGTTACAGCGCAGGATTTGATTCATCTTGCCCGCTCACGGAGCTAGCCATATAATAAATAGTTAAACAGTGTGCGATGGAAATTAGAATAATAAACGATTTACGTCTCGAAACAGGAAAAAGTGAAAATATAACACTAAAAGAACACAATCTAATCAGCGTTTCAAAAGAAGACTCTCTTTTTCCCAAACAGATAACTTATTAGATTCTACAGAATACGTTCGCGATAGACTGGTTGTTTATGTCCTGAAGAAGAAAGGGGCGTAAATGTCAAGTTAATCATTGACGCGATTTTACCAGAGGCAGACGAGAACGCGTACATCAAAGAGAATGAGAGCAATGATATCCTATAAAAACACCAGACTGTTATAAGCACATACAGTAAAACCTGTATTAACCGGACACCCTTGGGACCCTCATTGGTGTCCGCGTAATACAGGGTGTCCGCGTAGTACAGGGTGTCCGCTCAAAACAGGTTCTAATATGTTGTGCAATAACAGTTAATTACTGGTATCAACCCTTTTGTAACACAGTATAACACAGTGTGATATCAAAGACTGCTCATGGCACAATGTCCAGTCAGTCAATGCATCAATCTGGAATAATCACTTATCTTTAAAACGACATCGCTGAACAATGTTAAAGAAGTCACAGCTGAACTTTTAGAGGTAAAATGCCCTTGAAGTGTTCGCTTATTGCAAGTTTTGTGCAATTAGTCAGGGAGCAGGAACCGAAAAATGGGAGTTTCGTTCAACCATCACCACAGAAAATGTTTGACATCTGATTCTTGTCGAGAAAGACCTCCTGATCAAAGCCAGGTAGTTCGTAAAGTTGAATTGTGGTATAGGTTTCGAGTTAAGGGGATGTTTTCTTGCCAAGCCCACGGCTGAGCATGGAAACGAGGCTACACAGTCGAACACAGTTTACATCGATATTTCTTCGTGAAAATCTACGAAATCAGCCACTTAAATTCATTAAATATACATCTGCTTTATTTGTAAGTGGTTAAGTATGTCACGTGATTGGCCACGTGATTTTAAACGTGACCAGTAACAAATATGCGACTATTAACAAATGTGCTTTCGCCGTTGTTTTGAAAAACAACCTCGCAAAAACGAAATATGTATCCCTTCTTTATTAAATTAACTTTCTTTTGCTCTTGCTATCATCTTAGCAAAGCCTTTGGAAATGAAAACTGTTCACTGTATATCACTTTTTATCAGTTTAGATCTAGCACGCAATCGAGGCTAGTCCCTTGGAGGCAAACAAACTAAAAATTATGACTCACATGTAAATGAAAAAGAAAGAAAACGTTGCCGTTACTCGTTCCTGATTTAAGATACTGCAATATTCGGATTTATGACTATAATACTAATAATAGCAACGAGAATTATTGTTCTCACTCAGAATCAGAGTCCTCGGAATCTAAGGGAACTCCATGCGGATTTCTACACATGTCACTGCTGGCCATGCAATAACATGCCTCTGAACATGATAAGCCTGTGTTGTTACACGAGCAGTTGCTCTGACACCCGCTCTGACATGTGCAAGTCGTCAGTTCCAACAAGCTACTCGGGGCTGGCTCTTTTGTCATGTAAACCGGCTTCAGTGAGGAGTCTTCCCTCATCCATCCATTACATTCGGGCTGTGGGAGATGCTGGATTGCAGTCAGAGCCTTTCTCCAAACAAACGTCTGATAGTTAACTCTTTTCAAGTGTTGCAGAAGGCTGTCAGATGTGGTTGGGAGAAGCTCGTTCTTCTGCTTCCTGTTTTGACAAAACAGGAAATACATCAACTCATCCACAGTGCGTCGTTTCATCCTTGAGCTCGCGAAGAGATCACAGATAAAAGCTTCACATTGGATGGCGATGCCATCACTCAGGTTTCGCTGGGAACCTAGAAGACCTAGACTGTCTTGATGCTGTTCATTGCGTACTAGCACTTGTCATCTCTTCTTCTTACCGATTCTGGCAAGGGCACTGGTGGAGTTGCATCCAGTAATGTCGCTTAAGGCCGGAAGGGCGCGACACATTTTTTCGCCAAGGTCTTACGATACGTCGTGAACGAGTGATGTGGTGATAGCGTTAAAGTATTTGGATGCGAGTTCGTTAAAGGTACTACTCCCCGCTAATTTCAGTAATTGATCTAAAGCCATGCCGTCGATGAGATGAATGGTGTATTGTAGGAAAGGTTGGAGTCGTGGGCAAACATTAACTTTGCTTTCAATACGAGCTGCCAGGGTACTCTTGGTTGTCTTCCTCAAGCTACCATCTTGATAAGCCAAGGAGAACGGGAAAGATGAAGGCTCATAGCATAGAACTTCTTTGAGGTTAATCTGCCTCACGTTGGCGGTGATCAAAAGGCGTCCAAACAGCTCTCTATCAGCGCCAGCTGTAACCAGCTTATCATTGACTACCTTTACCTGGATTTTCCTTGTTGTTCTTTCGAAAGTTTTCATCTTGAGCTTTGGAATTGGATCCCAAAAGCTTACTTGGTTAGTGGTCAACCGTTTCTCTACTAAGGTGTTCATCCGCTCGCGTCCTTTTTCAATGTTTCTTACTAGACCATCAGCGCTGTCATTGGGTAAGACGACGCCCTAAGCGGAGTTGACTAATGACTCAGATTCTTGCGTGAAAGGATTAGCCATCAGTTCAGCTGTAAAGCATGAAACAAGCTTCTGAACATCGGCCTCATCGCGCGCTACCCGTTTTGTACCAGCCTCTTTGTGTATGTTCACGTGGCTGCACTCTTGCGTAAACATATTTTTAAGGGCCGTAGTAACTGACGCACGCTCGTGACTGGTGAGGAACCAACGATCTAGCGCACCAGGATTCTGGGAAATACCAATTATCCCCCCTTTCGACTTGGAGTCTGCATTTATGGTCTGTTCCAGTGCCATGTCTGTCCACACCTGGGCAAAGGGCTTACCAGAGCGACTAACTGCATGACAACCATTCACAAATTCTTGATGAACTTGAGGATGCTTGGTGGCCAACTGCCTCATGCCCATTATGTATACAGGGAGCGAGCGCGCATAGTTTGGCCTATCCATCGCGAAGAAATGTGGGACTATAGCTGATACACTCAACAGATGTAGTTCCCAATTACCGGTTCTTTTAGCTTTGACAAATTGAAGAAGCAGCTTCACCATTTCTCCATACCCCTCCCAGAAAGCAAAAATCTTTGACTTAGCTTTAGACTGGGCTTTAAAATCTTGAAAAAGTGAACGTAGCTCTGTAGTTTCCTGCTGCAACTCATTCACGCTAGATTGTACACCTGCCTTCATTGTTATTGCGCGTCTGCATTCTTCTGATTTTCTTATCACGGCATCTTCATCAACAAGACGCTCTTTTCCATCTCCAGCGTGGCTTGCGTACCATCCAATGAAAGCGTCCCAGATCAAACGAAAAAGAGCCTCCATTGCTAGCTTGTGAGCTCGAATTCCTCTGTTGTAAGGTTTCCCCTTCATTACCGCTGAGGCCGTCACCGCTGCATATACACTAGACTCAATAAGGAGGTATTCCAGTCCAGAACTGCAAAACTTCTTTCCAAGCAACGGTAGGAAATTGAGAGCTATGTGGAATCCCCCAAGCCGAATGAAAGTGCCTGAGAACTCCTCCGGAAACCTCATCTGAATTTGCTTTGCCTTCGTGTAGATAGCAAGGTGAAAGGTGATGACAGTGTCGACCTGTCTCAGGGT